TGGAATCCGTACAATATACCAAAATCGATGACATGGACTTTGTCAGCCTTTCGGGACTCGGTAAATATTGTCCGAAGCGTGGCGAACTCCGAGATCTTCTTGAATGGGGCCGAAGCCAGGGACGTGTAGTAGGCCCGCAGGTAATCCGAAGCCTTTGTTTTTCGGGCCACGATCGATTTGTAAATCGGGCTTCGCGCGCCGGCCAAACGGGCCTCGAGGGCATCCGCGAAATAGTGGGCCAGCCTCTGGCTGGCGTCGCCATCTGGCGACGAGTGCTCCCGAATCTTTTTCAGAAGCTCGTTTGCGGTGCGGTTTTCATCGACTGCAATGGCGTGCGCGCAGCTGATCAGAAGGGCCTGCAAGTCGATTACTTCCTTTTTCTTGCTCTGCTTCTTGGCCGCGCGAGCCTTTCGGCTCTTTGCCGCTGCCTGAGGCAGCTTATCCTTCTTTAGAGCATTTTTTAACTCCTCTCGGTAAGCACTATATTTCTCTTGACCTTCGCCCATGGAGTTGAGCAGCATCGAGTCGAATTCGCCCGTGAGCTTGTCGATATCTGAGTCCGGAGCTCGTATTTTGCTGCTTCTTTCCTCGTTTTCCAATTCCGGTTCATAATCGACATTGTGCCAGTTCCTCTTAGCTCTAAAATCGGATTCTTTTACAGGTTCTCGAGCTAAATTGCCTTCAAAAGTACACACGGGTCGAGTCTCATCACACGGGCTAAACCGCTCAGCAAAAATATCATGACTACCAGGATCAAATCCAACAAATGGGTTGCGCCCGTTAACCCGACCCGAATTGACTATGTCGATTAAGTACCCACCACAATCTCTGCTGCTGGAAGACGAGCTGTACGGGTTTGAATACGGGTTGTTGCTAGCATCATAATCTGGGCTCTCGACAAAACAGGCCGGGTAGGGTCCGGGAGAGGACGGGTACCGTTTGCCGATGGCCTCGTAAAAGGACTTCTCTTTGGCCTGAAAATGGAGGGATTCTTGGAGCATGTGGGTCTGATCTTCGAAATGCTCCTCCATTAGCATCTCGTTTATGTATCTAAGCAAAGGGGCGTTGGAAAAGTCGCAATCTTGGTCGATTGCAGAGAGTGAGGTGGGTAAGGGCGTGTTTGGGAGAAGGTGAATCCCTAATTCGTCGATGATCGGAAAACCTAATTCCGGTGCCGGCCCGCCAGATTGAATCCCCATGTGAAGCTGGGATGAAGGGTTCAAGGATTCGTTGAAATTTCTGTCCATTTTCTTCTTCTTTTTCCCTTTTATGGGGTTCGATCTTTTTCACCCAAAATCCAAACTTGAATCAAAAATAATAAGCCAAATAAAATATCAGCTGCATAAGAACAAGAAAATGTGTGCGGTGATTATATAAATCCAGAGGAACTCAAACTGAGAAAAGGGTTGACTGTATTTGCAGAATAAAAGCCAAAAACATAATCACAGAAAAAACCAACAAAAAAAAAACCCACAACAGCAAAAGCTCACTTGGGATTAAACTGCAGATTGGGCCAATTTTGCAGATAATAAGGAAAGCTGAACAAGAAGTTGAAGATTAGCGTACCTCGGGCCTCGGCAAAAGGGAATCCTGGTGGGTGCACAACAAAGACTAGAAAGATGGTGACAATTAGTCTTAATAATGGCGGGAAAATTCGTTCAAACGAACTTTTAGGATATTTTTATAATGGGATTAAAGGCTATGTTTTGTAAAATTAGCTGATAAGCTAGCTGATAGCTGATAAGCTAGCTTATAGCTTATATG